CTACATAGACAGAAAAGGCCAGGAGGGGTGCTGTGGCTCAATTGGTATAGTGCTAGCCTTGAGAAAAAAGAAGCTTAGGGACAGCACCCAGGCTCTGAGTTCAAGCCCCAGGACCAGCATACACACACACATACACACACACATACACATACACAGTTTGTGTGTGTATGTGTCTGTGTATTATCTTGCATTTTGAAGGCACTATGACAATAAATCTACCAGATGGAAACTCCTATTGGAAAGTAGCAACACTCTAGTAGTTTACTCAGTTGGTGGTTTTCTTTCTTTGTTTCTATTCGCTTTCTTTTTGCCTCCTTTGTCTATAATGAAATTGTTTTCATAGTTCCACCGCAGTACTGCTAAAGGAGAAGAGTTGACTTTCTCCTGTTCATGGACCTGCACTAGAGTTTGCATGTGTATTGCATGTATTATAGCCTGAACGTCCACAAGGACCAGCACTTGTTTCTTTTATACAGCAGCCTGTGTGAGTCTGTGTCATGCCAAGGACGAAATTGGCTGTGAAAACCGAAAGGCCCCGCCCCGCCCCTGCGTGCAGAGCCTGTGTGGGTGACTTATTAGTCTATGGCCTTCCTGATCAGGATTTTACGATCCCACAGGCTCCCTCCTGTGAATGCTTCCACAAGTCCGCAGCAGCTTTCCTGCCACGTCTGGACTCACGCCCTGGTCATTTTCCGCCTTGCTTTTTCTGTCAGTCTTTTTTATGACCCACGTCCTTTATTTGCATCGGTAGGTGTACTAGGGGGTTCCATTCTGACGTGTCCACAGAGGCGCATGGGGCGCCTTGATCAGACGCCTGCCCTCCATCCTTCTCCCTCATCTCTCCTCCCCTTCACACACCAACCCCAACAAGCCTCCGCGGCCCTTCCACGCCGGTCACCTTCACCTTGCTGTACACTGCGTGTTTCACTGGTCCAGGTTCACTTCCTTCACGGTGACGGCGACGGCACCTGCATGTGTCCTGGTCATCTATCAGCATATTCATCTACACAGGCCCTTCCTGAGACCCCGACTCCACCTGCGGTCCAGCGTCCCTGCCTGTCCTTCTCTCTTCCCTTGGCCCTGACATCCTCCCCTCTTTCTTCTCCTCCCCATTCTTCCCCTCCCTTACCCTCCCCTCTCCTCTCTTCTTCTCCCTCCTCTCTCTCCTTTCAATTCCATTCCCTTTTCCTTTTTATTCTTTTCAGACAGAGTCTCATCCAGGCTCTTCAAGCCTCCTGCCTCTGCTTTCCTGGCGCTGGGATTCCAGGCTGTGCCACCAGCTCTCCTTCTCAGAAGCAGGGAGGTGTGCATAAGTGCAATGCCCTGCCCCGCCTCCAGAGCTTCCCAACCCCGACACTCTTTCTGCCATGTGGTTCCTCTCCACCAGCCTCTGCTCCTTCTCCCACACAGCCCACACCATCCTTTGCAGCAGGACTGCGTGCAACCTCTGTGCTTTGTCTTTCCGTGGGTCTCCAGAACCTTCTATCTCTCACACACACACACACACACACACACACACACACACACTGCCACCTGCCAAGGTAGCCAGGGCCTTGAACATGCTAAATTGGTGCTCTTCCACTGAGCCCACACCAGCAGCCCCACAAGTCAGCCCAGTTTCCACCTGGAGCCCCGCCCCAGCTGACTGACGCCGGCCAGAGCCTTATCAACAGCCACGAGTACTTGATGTTCCCAGAACACCTTCTGTGGCTGCCAGCCCCTCTTCCGGAGAGCCTCCCATCCCTTGCCACTGCCAGCCACTTTATTCCGAAGCCTCTCCTGACTCCGCCACAGAAAGGATTTCCTCTTCTGCCTCCTCAGCACTTCATCCATATTGTGATTTTTGCATTTACTATCAGATAATTAAAAGTATACCTTCTAGACTGCCAACAAGCTTTGTTCAATTTTTAGTACAAATAGATACTCAACAATGTGTTTGTGAGGCAGGGGGTAAATTGAGGCAAGCTCTCTACCACTGAGTTTTAACCCCGGACCCTGAGTAATTTTTTTTTGAGACATTCTGTCTCCTTCCCTCTTTCTGTATGTGTGTATAGCTACGTGTATATATACATGTATACGTTCTATTACATGTATGCATTTTGTGTTACATAGACACATGAGTGTATACGTGTGTACGCCAATACACACACATTTGCACGGGTATTGCAGGCCGCCTGGGCTCAGCCTCAGCCTCTGCTGGGATTACAGGCAGCTGCTGTACCAGGGCTCATCTAGCTTTGGTTTCAGTGACTCAGGTAAGATGGTGTCATAGATAAGGAAGCAGGCTGACTCATTTAGTCCCCTGGGCATAAGATTTAAAACCCACATCTGAAAAAATATTTTGAATATCCTTGGTGACCAGAATCTTCCAAGTTCACAGACAATCAGCAAAATCACGAAAGGCATTTCTAATGCATGAGCATTCAGAGACGGATTGGCTGGTGTTTCCCCGCCCTTCCACGCATTTCCATTTCTTCTCCTATCCAGTCTGAGATATTTTCTCCACTCATCCTTTTCAGTGCCATGAACCTGATCTTCTTCTGCCTTTTCATTGGCCAGAGACACCACAGCAGGCTGGGACAAAGCCTCCCGAACAAGAACAATGAAGCCGGGAGTTCAAACTCTGTGCCACTAAAACAACACAAGAACGCAGCCCAAACCAGATGCTGGAGGTGATGGACCAAGTCACTCAGTCCAGAATAGCCTCTGCCATGCTCAACGAATCCAGGCTTCTGTCCTCTGACTGCTCAACTTGCATCTTACCTAACGAGCTGTCTGTCCAAAACACACCCAGGGTTTTCCTGCTTGTGTGCTTTCTTCGAGCGCAAGGCGGCAGCGCTGGGCTCCTGGGAACGCACAGGTGTAATCCCAGCATCTACACGGTGGCCTATCTCAAATGCCAAATCTAGGAAACTCTAAAGCTCTTCAGTCTGCAGCAACTTCTGCCACCAATCCTGTGAAATCAGTCATAACCTACCTTGTAAAGCTTTCTGGTCTAATTGTTCTCATCACTCTCCACTTCCTCTACAAGTTAGGGATGGCGCAGTAGCCACCATCATGCCCCACCGCACTTCCTGGAGGCCCAGATGAACTCAAGACACTCTGCCATGCGGTAGAGACAGTGCTACCTTTTCTGACACTGCCACAGACACACGCTCACAGACACGGATCCTGACACGGACACGTACTCACATGGATCCTGACAGATACACACTCCCACACACAGATCCTGACACAGACACATGGATCCTGACACACACGTGCACTCATACAGATCCTCACACACACATGGATCCTGACTCATTCACTCACACAGACATGTGCCTATACAGATTCTCACACACACAACACACATGGATCCTGACAAACACGTGCTCACACACATTCAGACACAGTTGTACACACACACATATGGATCCTGACACAGACATATATGCTTGCATCCATGGACATTCACACAGACATGCACTCACATACAGGGGGTCTCTCTCTCTCACACACACACCAAGAGATCCGGACATACATGCTGGCACATAGTTGCTAACAAGCTCACATAAAGGCTGACACAGACACATGCGCACACATACGGACACTCAGACATGTGCTTGCACACAGGGAGTCTCAAAGACACACACACAGACTGATGCACGGCCCCTCACACTGACGCACGGGTCCTCACACTGACGCACGGCCCCTCACACCGACGCACGGGTCCTCACACCGACGCACGGGTCCTCACACCGACGCACGGCCCCTCACACCGACGCACGGCCCCTCACACCGACGCACGGGCCCTCACACCGACGCACGGCCCCTCACACCGACGCACGGGCCCTCACACCGACGCACGGCCCCTCACACCGACGCACGGGCCCTCACACCGACGCACGGCCCCTCACACCGACGCACGGGTCCTCACACCGACGCACGGCCCCTCACACCGACGCACGGCCCCTCACACCGACGCACGGCCCCTCACACTGACGCACGGGTCCTCACACCGACGCACGGCCCCTCACACTGACGCACGGCCCCTCACACCGACGCACGGGTCCTCACACTGACGCACGGGTCCTCACACCGACGCACGGCCCCTCACACCGACGCACGGGCCCTCACACCGACGCACGGCCCCTCACACCGACGCACGGGTCCTCACACCGACGCACGGGCCCTCACACCGACGCACGGCCCCTCACACTGACTCAGGGCCCCTCACACTGACGCACGGCCCCTCACACTGACGCACGGGTCCTCACACTGACGCACGGCCCCTCACACTGACGCACGGGTCCTCACACTGACGCACGGCCCCTCACACTGACGCACGGGTCCTCACACTGACGCACGGGTCCTCACACTGACGCAGGCCCCTTCACACAGACGCACGGGTCCTCACACTGACGCACGGGTCCTCACACTGACGCACGGCCCCTCACACTGACGCACGGGTCCTCACACTGACGCACGGGTCCTCACACTGACGCACGGGTCCTCACACTGACGCACGGGTCCTCACACTGACGCTGGGCTCTCCCACGGACCCCGCGGGCGCCCGCACCCCGTACCCCGCGTCCCGCGCCCCCCCCCCCCCGCGCGCCTCCCCGCCCCACGTGCCGGCGCGGAACTGTGGGATCCCGGCCGCGGGCGCGCCCATCCCGGCGGCGGGGGACGCCGGCTCCCGCACGGGGCTTCGCGGGCGCTCCCGGCGCCCCGCCGGCCTCTGTTCGCTGGACCCGCGGCCCCCGCGTCCCAGGCCCGCCCAGCGCGGAGGGCCCGCGAGTCCCGGCCGAGGGCGCAGCCCCGCCCCGCCCCGCCCCGCCCGCCCCGCCCGCCGGCCCCGCCGCACTTGGTAGCGCCCGCCGCCCGCCGCCCGCGCGCTCAGTGCGCCGCCGCCTCAGCCGCCGCCGCCGCCGCCTCGCCGGCTCCGCGCCCGGGGTCCCCGCGTCCCCTCCCGGCGCCCTCCCGGGACGCGCGCCGAGGGGGCCGGAGCCCGGCCGCCGCCGCCCCGCCGTCCCCAGGCCGCGTCGGCCCCGGCATGTATCAGAGCCCGCGGCGGCTCTGCTCGGCCCTGCTGCGGAGGGACGGCGCGGGCCTGCGCCGCCTGCCCGGCCCCGGCCTGCCCGGCCCCGGCCCGCGCCGCCAGGCGCCGCCACCCCCGGCCCCGCGACTGCTGACGGCGGCCCCCGGCGCCGCGAGGCCCCGCTCCCCCACAGGTGAGCTGTCGGCCGGCCCGGCCTGGCCGCGTGAAGGAGAAGCCGGGGCCGCGGGGCCCGGACCCCGGTACCCCCGACCCCGGTCTCCCCCCCCCCCCCGTCCCCACCCCCGGCCCTCGGTCTCCCCCCCCCGGTCCCCACCCCCGGTCCCCTCCCCCGGTCCCCACCCCCGGTCCCCTCCCCCGGTCCCCACCCCCGGTCCCCTCCCCCGGTCCCCACCCCCGGTCCCCTCCCCCGGTCCCGGCCCCCGGCCCCCGGTCTTCCCCCCCCCGGCCCCACCCCCGGTCCCGGCCCCCGGCCCCCCTCCCCCGGTCCTGGCCCCCGGTCCCCTCTCCCGGTCCCGGCCCCCGGTCCCGGCCCCCGGTCCCCTCCCCCGGTCCCGGCCCCCGGCCCGGCTCGGCCGCCGCGCGGGCGGATTCGCTGTGCCTGGGTTCGGAGCTGCTCCGGTGGCGGTGAGCGGAGCTGGCCCCGCCGGCCGCGAGGAGCGCGCGCATCCGCCGCGGCTCTCACACCGGGCGACGCCGCCCGGAGCCCGCCGCGGCCCCGCGGCCCGGGGAGGAAGTCGGCGCGGGGCGCGCTGGGTTCCCGCTGCCTGCGGCGGGTGTGGAAATGCTGCTTCGCGAATGCCCCGGTGCCTGGGGGAGCTGGGTTCTAGAACACTCTGGGGTTTAGTCGTGGCCTTGTCAGGGAAGCGATCCCTGCGTGGGGCTGAGCCCGGCCTGGGGGCTCTGACCCCCGCGTCGGGGGCTTCTGCTCCGGGATGTGTTTGCAAATGGAGACGTTGGAACCAGAGGTGATGAGCGTGCGGTAACCCCGGCTCCTGGAAGCCGAGGGTCCCCCGTGGCGCTCCAGCTGGAGGTCCTCGGCTGCGCGGTGTCCAGCCGTCACCACAGTCCTGGCTCTGCTTTCTCTAAGAACAAGGAGCGTGACATTCACAGGGGTTTACTTTGGTGTGTGGTTTGGAGATCAGAGGGGCTAGCACGCGCATCGCGCCCTCTGTTCAGCCCGTAGGTATGTGTTGGGAAGACGCGAAGCTCGTGTGAATAACTAACTGTTGGTCCGCTCACACAGACAACTTACAGTGAAGCCTAATCAACTTCTAAAAAGTCGACATCCTGCGGTTTTGCAAATAAATGAAGGACTTGAGTGGGGACAGGGGAGCAGGGGACCAGGGGCTCAGTGCTGCAGCCCTGCAGTGAGCCCCCAGAGTCAGATGACTTTTATGGTACCTAATGATTATGGTAGACAGCTCGTTACTGTGGTTACCAGACAGCTTTCCTTTTCCCTGCTGCTCCCGGTGGGAGGGGGAAGAGGTGTGCGTTCACCAATTCATTGCTTCAGCCCCCTTCATGCGGGATCCTGACACATCTAATGCCGGCAGACGTGGGTGCCTGATAGGAAGTGCAAGACTCTGCACTTCAGTTTATCTGGAGCACGTTTGATTCTTCCTGATTAAAAAATGTGCAGTAGCATCGGGGTGGGGAGAGAGTGAGGCCTCTTTTGACCACAGTGAGTCTTTTTAGCATATGTGCTACAGAAGTGGCAGTGATGAGTCTCTGTAGACTTCAGGAACTGTTTGGAGGCCGGAGAGTGCCTGCACCCTGGATGACAAGTTGAAGGCCAGCCTGGGCTACGCAGCTAGACTCAGTCTCAAGGGGTTGTTTAGGATCCGAAGAGATTAGTATAAAGTATTTACTTAGGGAAAAGCAGGAGCAACATTGGAAGGGTCAAGGCGTGGCTGAGGAAGGGAAGAGAGGCACTTTGAGTAGTATTTCCCCACAAGTCTTAAACCAACCTTAGCGTGTTTAAAAGTGCAGGTACTTGGGCTGGGAAAGTGGCTCAGTGGTAGAGTGCTTGTCTTGCATGCATGAGGCCCTGGGTTCGATTCCTCAGTACCCACCATAAGCAGAAAAAAACAGAAGTGGTGCTATGGCCCAAGTGGTAGAGCACTAGCCTTGACCTGAAGAGCTGAGGGACAGTGCCCAGGCCCAGAGTTCAGGCCCCACAACTGACAAAAAGTGCATATCTTTCAGTGTATATCTTTCAGTGTGACTGATCCCCCCCCACCCCCGTTGATTCCATTAATGAAAAAAATAAACTCCAAATTTACTTTTATGTTACTTACATGTAACCCAGGTGCCCTTACATACCCGGCAGTGTTGTAGTTTGAACTCAGGACCTGTGCTTGCTAGTCAGGAACGTTGCCATTTGAGACACTTGTGAGATAGGGCTTGATGGAGCTGGCAGCTGCTCTGTACACACACACACACAGTCTACTGAAGGAGACAGTAGTGAGTCCCCACACCTGTCCCATTTGGTAATCTCTTCTTATCTAACGTAGGCCCTGTGGCCACTGGCAGTTCCAGGAAGCTGAGGACAGTCCCTCCAGGGAAGGCAACTGCAAGGTGAATAGAATCTGAAATTCCAGCAGAGATAGCAGCAGGTCCCTGTGGAGCCTCCAGGTACTGCACACAGGGCACTGGATGGACTGCAGGCAGGAGTCCTCCCAGCCCTCCTCCCCATTCCATCCTCCCAGCCCTCCTCCCCACTCCATCCTCCCAGCCCTCCTCCCCATTCCATCCTCCCAGCCCTCCTCACTCCATCCTCCCAGCCCTCCTCACTCCATCCTCCCAGCCCTCCTCCCCACTCCATCCTCCCAGCCCTCCTCCTCTTGCCATCATCAAGAGTTGGCTGAGTTGCTGCTGAGCACCACATGTTGCTTTTTCCCTGCACAGTTTTAGAGGCAAAGAGGAGGTGGCTTTATTTCGTAGGTCTCTTGACTATGTGAGTAAGCGACTTAGGAGAGAGAAGAAAGCTTGTAATTACCCAGCTTGTCGGGAACAAATGGCTTCTGTGGGCGGCTCGGGCATTAGGGTTTCATTGCCCCGAAGGATGTGGGGGAGCAGTGTAAGTGCAGAGCACACGGGCCTCGTGAGTCACTAAGCCTCCAGCACCCATACACTCGGCAAACCACTTAGCTTGGCCTGCCTTTGCTTCATGCCAGACATCACCAGGAAAGAGCAAGTCAGGTGACCTGGCAGTGCCCGTCTACAGCTTTCTACCGCTGACCACCATCCAGTGGTTTCAGGGCAGGAGTGCACCAGGAGTGAAGATAAAAAATCAGCCTGGGGCTGGATGTGCCAGGAATGGGGGGGAGCCGTGGAGAGCATCTTCTGACAGGAGAGATGGCGCTCAAGCCCCTGTCATGGGGATGTGTCCTGTGGAGAGCTTGTGCCATTCAGAGTGGGTGAGCACGTGGGCTGTTGGAGGCGGGGTGACGTGGAGGTGTGGAGGGCTGTCCAGGCTGAGCTGGGCCGGCAGAGGGACGGCAGGGCAGAGGGACCGGAGGGCGGGAGAGCTCTTCCCGGGTTGGAAGCAGCAGCTCAGGGGATGGGGATGTGGGACCTGTGGTGCTGTTGCACTCGGTATTGCACTTCATTTGTTGTTCGTTTTTGGTTGCTCCCAGCTCCTCCACGGTGCCTTCTCCTGGGATCAGGCCACAGGAGCCCGGGCGGGGCTGCAGGCGGGGGCTGGGAGGGGAGGAAGGCTAATTCTCATCACCTCCTGGTGTGAACGTCTCTATACATTTTGTTCTCCTTCCACTAGTGAAAGAGCTTGGGAATTTTAGAAGTCTTTCCTAAGTTTCTTACTCAGGCCTCCAGCGTTTAGGGTGTGGTGAACTGTGCAGAAAGGGAACACTGAAAACCACTTGTATTCCATCATTAGCAGTATGAGAATCCATGAAAATAAGTGCTTCGAGGCTGGTGGTAGCTGTACATTGTAAACCCCACATTTGGGAGGCAAAGCATGAGGCCAGCTCAGGCCCCACGGTGCGACTCAGAAAATGACTTTGGCTGTGGGTGTGGCTCCGTGTGGAGCCCTTGCCTGGTGCTCTCAGGCCCTGGGTTTGAATCCAGTAAAATCGTTTTAGTGAGACCTCTTGGGTGCAGCCTTCCTCACTGTGTTTAGTGCTGGGCACCAAGCCTAGGCCCACAGACAGGGAGACAGGTGCTCCGCCCCTGGGCCTGCGCCTCACTTGCACCCCCTGGAGCATGCTGGGGACAGGGGCCAGGGGACAGGAAGGTGAGCGCCAGTGAGCCCCTCCCCTCAGAGCTAGCTCTTGAACTGGTCTGCATCTCTTTTAGGCCCATTTGCCCTTGGGTGCCCTTCTAAGGCATACTGCCCACTGCCAGAACCTTCTCTTGACTAGCAGGCAGAAGCATGTGTCTGTGTGAAGGGCGGGCTGTGAGGATGATCTCTTTCCAGCTTCCTTGCTGAATGACTGCTCTAGAACTCCCTACTTGGCGGGCTAAAGCACCTTGGTAGAGCGGCGTTTTGCTTGGGTACTTGTCCTCTGCCCCCCAGCTCCTCGGCTAGTTCAGACTTATGCTGTCTTCCTGGAATTCCTCACAGATTCGCTTATTGCTGGCAGAAACCTTCTTGTTTGGGGTTTTCTTGAGATAGGCTCCCAAAAGCTCAGGTGGGCCTGGAACTCCCCATCCTGGGGACTCAGGCTCCAGGCTGCAATGGTTACAGGCATGTGCCACCATGCCCAGCTCTGTATTTTAAGAATGCAAATACTTTACTCCTAAAAGAGCTCAGGAAACAGGAAGAAAATGTATGTTCCCATTTACTAATATGATCAAGAACCAACAGACCTGATGAACTATTGATGATGTGTAAGATAATCAACTCCATTTTAAGAATGGGAATTGACACTTGGCATAGCGATTTTGAAACAATTGGCATTTCTACTTTAGGCAAAACTCTGGAAATCTGTATATAAAAACTTTCTCCCCTCCCTCCCTTTTTTTGGGACAGTCATGGGTCTTGAACTCAGGACCTGGGCGCTGCCCCTGAGCTCTTTTGGCTCAAAGCTAGCGCTCTACCACTTTGAGCCACAGCTCCATTCTGGTTTTCGGGTGGCTAACTGGAGATGAGAGTCTCACGGACTTTCCTACCTTGTAGACTAGCTTTGAACTGTGATCCTCAGCCTCCTC